TATTTCCCTCCATTAACTTCGAGGCGTCAGTTACAAAGTTTTATCGGCATGGTCAACTTTTACCGCCGGTTTCTCTAGAACTGTGCTGACCTCATGCTACCGCTCACCAATCTGCTGTCTGCTCCCAAAGGTCCCCTTGAACTTACTGGAGAAGCATTGACTGTTTTCGAAAGAATTAAGACTGCCCTGGGGGACGCCACCCTGCTAACGCCTCCCGCTCCCGAGGCTCAGATGTCCTTGATGGTAGACGCCTCGACCATAGCGGTGGATGCAGTCCTCCAACAACGCCTGCCTGGTGCGACTCAACCACTGGCCTTCTTCTCGAAGAAACTCTTGCCCCCTGAGACGCGCTACAGCAGCTTTGGTAGTGAACTCCTCGCCATTTAGCTGGCAGTGAAGCATTTCAGACACTATCTCGGGGGTCGGGACTTCATCATCTTCATTGACCACAAGCCGATCACCTTTGCTCTTCGGTCCCACTCCGATAAGTGCAACGCCATAAAAATTGGCCACCTGGATTACATTTGTCAATTCACCACTGACATCCACCACATTGATGGCACGAAGAATGAGGTGACTGATCTTATTTCTCGATCTTTCCTGTCTGTCCTTCAACTCTCGCAGGGGATCAACCCTGGTACTATGGCCGTGGAGAAAAAACGAATTGGCTGTCCTGGCGACGAAGGTTTCACTGATCTCCAGCTTGTGGACGTTCCCCTTATCACCGAGACTGGCATCATCTTTTGTGATGAGTCGACTCCTTTTTATCGCCCCTTTGTGCCGCCTTTGATGCGTTGAGGTGTGTTCCAAACGTTTGATGGACTTATCGCAGGGGATTAAGTGAGTTAAACCCAGCATCTGCGATCTCCAGACCATGGTTACTTAGTGGAGGAGAGAAGTCGGTAAAGGCCAAAGTAGAGGGAAGAGTATATTGTGTACACAAGGAAAGGAGAATAGATGAAAGATGTCTGACTTAGCGAGCCTACGGCCCGCAGGAGAGCCAGCCGCAGTCCAAGTGCCGTTTTAGTAGCAGTCGGGACAGTGGATAGAGACAGAGAGCGCGTTACTTGGCTAGGTCGGCCTGTGGTTGGGTGGACGGCGTGTTGGGTGG